CCCCCCTGAAAGCCCTGTCGGCAGCGCCCGGCCAGCCCCGCTCAACTGCCAGCAGGCTGCCCTCCCACCCCACAACCTCCAGCCTCCTCCCAAAAGGTTCCCTGAGGCCATCCACCTGCACCAGCCAGGACCCCCCAGGCAGCACCAGGACTAGGGCAGCCCTCAGCCTGGCCCCTCTGATAGCAGCAGGGACCCTTGGCTCAGCTCCCCCACCCCCAGAGCAGGAGCTGTCTCTGCCCCAGCAGCCCCCCAGTCCCAGCAGGCGAGGAGGGGCAGCCTGCCTGCCCCATTCCCACTCCAGTCCTGTTTACCCAGCGCATTCTTGCATCCACCCGTCCCATCGGGTGAGGGAGGCACGAAGGCGGCCGCAGGGATATTTACCCAGTGCCTGGCTGCCTGACACTGCGGCTTCTCACCAGAGCTGGCCCTGCCGCAGGGGAGCCTCCCAGGACAAGAGGGGAATTGAGGCTACAGGACGCCTGTACCCACCCTCCTCCCAGCTGACAGGGCCACTGGGCACCTGTCCCACGCCAAGGTGATCCCCACTCCCTCTGCCCTCCTTGGGCATGGCCTTGGCCCCACTGGCCACCCCGCAGAGCCCCAAAGGGCACTTGCATCCTTCTCCAGCCAGAAGGACGTGTCCTTGCCCTGCAGCTGGCCAGGGACACCAGGCAGCCAGCTCCTGCCACAGCCCCACACCAGGAGCAAGTGGTTACTGCCCCCACCCTCCACCTTGGCCAATGTGGAAAAAAACTGGGGAAAAAACTCAAATATTGTTAGAAGGTATGTTCAGAGCAAGGCTGCTGAGCACATTGCCATAGGATAAACATCATCAATTATGTCATTTTACTGCAAAACTTAAAGTTCACAAATAAAACCACATCTCCCACAGCCCAAGTTTATCTGTAGCCCTCTGTATTTTGCATCATTAGCATCTTTCCAGGGAGTGTTTAGACATACATGGCCATCGCACCCATCGCTCCAAGTGTTTGTCTAGAAAAAGTCACTTCTTCCTGCCTCCCACCGTCGGCCTCCTGAGCTCTACAGCTCAATCCCCCCAGCCCCTTGCAGACCAGTACTCCCCCCATTGCAGATACACCCCCACCCACAAACACAACCCCACAGGTCTCAGAGTGCTACACGGCCCCCTCCCATGTTACAGCTGCTCCATTGCCCCCAGTAATTGCTGAGCCCTCTGCATGCCAGCCCCCCCTGCCCCCACACACACCCTGGCCTTGGAACACACGCAGGACAGCCCAGACACCCTCATCATCACTG